GATCGGAGGAGCAACTGGGAGTGTGATCCTGATGACTCGCATGACTAGATTGATGCAGGCGTGTCCACCGACTCCATGCTAACTAGTTGGTCGATGAACAGCTCACACCAAGAATATCACTGTCCCACTACAATCGAACAATTCCTCAATTTCCACCCGCCCACTCCCCACACAAACGCAAACACACACGAACACACACATCACATCACATCACATCACAACACAACACAACACAACACAGCACAGCACAGCACAGCACAGTACATCACATCACAGAACAACACAACACAACATAACACATACGTGCGAATTCACCACACTCAACCACTGGCGCTACAATGTCCTTCTCCACATCCCCTACACTGTCAATCTGCTCATCCATTATCTTCACACACCCACTAGACACGAGTGGTCCACACAGGTGTTTAGTGGGATTCTGGAGAGATGGGAGTGACTGGTGGGAATACTCCACCATATTCCATGGTGTGATTGCTATGCTGCCTGACTGGATGGATTTCAGTTGTCAGTCGACACAGGGTAGAAATGTCTACAGGAGGGTTGATGTCACCGCGCCGAATTTCTTTATGGGAGCGCGCATACACCGTTTTTACGCGGAGAGCTACTGTTACGCAGACGGATGCCGACACTCGTGTATCCTACCAAGCATTCAACTCTCAGTTTTGTATATCCTCACGCAGAACCCAAGATATACACTTTTATTGATACTTGATTTAATGCTTACTCACATACATGCATTCATACATTCCCACATTTTGAAACTACCGGAAATCTAGACAGATATCCTTTCATTCCTTTAATCTTTTCTTTTCGAATTCTTTTTGACTAATCAGCTAATTCATTTGGTTCTATTATCAATTTTATTGCTTTGTAACTATATCCTACATTATGTGATGCTTAATCACACTAGTTTCTCACATTATTGTGACTTACAGGGCTTTTGTTTAAAAAAATATTATATATATATATATTACGCGCGCTTTTCGACTATTACGCTACATTTTGGTCATAAATAAAATATCTTATTACTCTAAAATTTTATGCAAAGTGTTTGCGGAAATTATCACAATTATTAACCTTTCGAACACTGAATCCAAAAAATACAATCTTATTGACAGATAATACACATAACTCACTGTTTGGATTTGTGGAATTTTTAAACATAAACACATCTATAATTGTATATATTGTTGGATTTATATGTTCAAGTTGCTCCAAGTCAGTGAGTTTATGGTTAAGATATCATTTTAGTTACATGTACTGAACTATATTGCATGTTGTCTTATTGTATAGTTGTCGTCGCTTTTTGCCCTTTTTTCTGTGAACTGTTTCCTTTGTTGATGTTGTTCTCATTGTTTGTCCGTTATTTTCTGATTTTGAGGGGAGCAACCCAAAAAGTTGCTTCTCTCTAAACTTTTACTTAATGTAATCATTCTTTTCTCAGGCGTGAGGCTAGCAACCCCACCCTGTAAACAAAAATTGCTACAGAATCTTCAGTATGCTGAACCTCCTTGCACCAAAAGAAAAAGTCTGTGTAGGAACATGGAACGTCCGAACTATGTACGAGACTGGAAAAGCTGCCCAGATCGCCAACGAGATGAAAAGATACGGAATACAAGTGCTGGGAATATGTGAGAGCAGATGGAATGGGAGTGGACTCACCAAATTGTCAACAGGTGAGTCAGTGATCTACTCCGGTCACCCAGAAGATAACCACACGCACACCGAGGGCGTGGCTATCATGATGTCACCAACGGCAACGAAAGCCCTGATACAATGGGAGGCGATTTCGTCCAGGATAATGACCGCCAGGTTCAACTCCAAAGGAAGGAAAGTGTCAATCATACAATGTTATGCACCCACAAACAACGCAGACCTCGAGAAGAAAGAAGAATTCTACAGGCAACTACAGGCAACAATGGACAATACTCCAGCTGGCGACATGAAAATACTAATGGGAGACATGAACGCCAAACTGGGACCAGACAATACGGGAAGGGAACTCATCATGGGTAGAGAAGCTCTAGGAGAAATGAATGAAAACGGAGAACTCTTCGCCGACTTCTGCGCCTTCAACGAACTGGTGATTGGTGGCAGTGTATACAAGCACAAAGATATCCACAAGGCTACATGGGTGTCACCAGACGGGCAAACCAAAAACCAAATCGACTTCATCTCAATCTCAAGGAAGTGGAGGCGCAGCCTACTGGACACAAAAGCAAGAAGAGGAGCAGACGTTGGCTCAGACCACTATCTCGTACAAGGGACAATCCAAATCAAATTAAAAGCTTTCAGGGAATCAGGAGCTGCAGATAGACCACAAGCCAAGTTCAACACTCAAAAGCTGAAGGACCAGGCTACAAAGGACATCTTCATTGCAAGCATAAAGGACAAAGCCGAGACACAAATCAACACTAGCGAAGAGGTCGGCGTTGAAAAGCACTGGAACAACTTGAAAACGGTGTGGAGCCAAACCTGCATAGAAATTCTAGGCAGAAAAAAGAGACAGGACAAACAGTGGCTCACTACGGACACTTGGAAACTAATAGAAGAGAGAAGGACAGTGAAGCAAAAGATTATCCAGTGCACGGACGAGCAACAAAAACAGGAGCTGAATGCAAGCTACAATACACTGAACAAAAGAGTGAAGAAAAGTGCCAGGGAAGACAAAAGAAAATATTATGAAACCATGGCAAACGAAGCAGAACAAGCTGCAGGCAAAGGAGACCTCGCCACACTCTACCAAACAACTAGGAACCTTTCGGGCAAACGTTCGACACAGATTAAGCCAATAAAGGACGACAATGGAAAGTCAATCACCAAAGAGGTGGAACAGAGAAAGCACTGGGTTGAACACTTCAAAAGACTTCTAAATCGTCCGCCACCTACAACACGTCCAGCAATACCAACAACGGAAGCAGAACTACCAGTGAACACTGACCCCCCGACGAAATCAGAAGTCCTGAATGCAATCAAGATGCTTAAAACTGGGAAAACACCGGGACCAGATGGAATCCCAGCAGAGGCTTTGAAAATAGACCCAGAGACAACAGCGGACTTGATGACACCACTACTGGAGAAGGTGTGGAAAGAGGGCAAAGTACCCGAGGATTGGAAGAACAGTTACTTATTCAAACTTCCAAAGAAAGGAGACTTAAGTCAATGTAAAAACTGGCGTGGAATTATGCTTCTGTCCATTCCAAGCAAGATACTAAGTCGCATCATCCTGGAGAGAATCAAACAAGCCCTAGATGAAAAACTTCGTCCGGAACAGGCTGGATTCAGGAGAAACAAATCATGTATTGATCAAATCGCCACTCTACGGATCATCATTGAACAAAGCTTGGAATGGCAGTCACCTCTCTATCTCAACTTCATCGACTTTGAAAAGGCCTTCGACAGCGTCGATCGAGAGGTCATTTGGAAACTACTTCGCTACTACGGGGTCCCATCGACAATTATACACCTCATCCAACAGTTATACGACAATGCTGCATGCCAAGTAATCCACAACGGGAAACTTACGGAAGCCTTCGAAGTGAGGACGGGAGTGAGGCAAGGCTGTCTACTATCACCAATGATCTTCCTGATTGCAATTGATTGGATAATGCGACAGACAACGGCAACCAACGAGGGAACAGGCATAAAATGGACTGACACAAAAGACTTGGAGGATCTGGATTTCGCCGATGATATATGTCTGATTTCCCATAAACTGGAAGATATGCAAATGAAAAGTAACAAGTTGGCAGAAGAAGCATCAAAGATAGGACTTCACGTGAACATAGATAAAACAGAGATGATGAAGATTCCTTGCCAACATCAACAGCAACAACAGACCACAATAAGCATAAATGGGAAGAACCTGAAAGAAACAACCTCCTTCACCTACCTGGGAAGCATCGTCTCAACTACAGGCGGAACTGACGAGGACATCAAAGCCAGAATCGGAAAAGCAAGACAAGCTTTCATTACTCTCAAATCTGTGTGGAGGTCAACAGCAATCAGCATCAAAAATAAGATCCGGATTTTCAACTCCAATGTGAAGTCAGTGCTACTATACGGATCAGAGACTTGGCGAGTCATAAAGAGCATCTCAAACAAACTTCAAACCTTCATTAACAACTGTCTCCGCTCAATACTCAAGATCAGATGGCCAGAAAAGATCAGCAACAGGGATCTCTGGGAGCGAACCAATCAGGAACCGATTGTGAAACAAATAGGCAGAAAGAAATGGAGATGGATTGGCCATACGCTGAGGAAACCATCAAGTGACATCACTAGACAAGCCCTCGAGTGGAACCCGAAAGGGAGGCGGCGAGTTGGTCGTCCAAGGGTGACTTGGAGGAGGTCATGTGAAGAGGAGATGAAAGCATGTGGGCAGACCTGGAGCAGGGTGAAAAAGTTGTCAGAAAACCGAAGTCAATGGAGGTGCGCAGCTGAAGCCCTATGTTCCTCTAGGAACTAAAGGATACAATAATAATAATAATAAATATATTTTTTTATAGATTACTACAGTAGACAATGTGGAACCAATCTGACGAATGTGAACTTGAAGCACGTGAAGCCATACTCCAGCAGAATGTCTCAAGCAAGCCAAGCAGACCAACATATACATATATATTGAAAGTTCAACAGAAGTTTCGCATTTTTTAAAATTTATATTTTTGTTTTATTTCAAAGAAATTTTTCTTTTTTTGAGAGAGGGATTTTCATATATTTATGTGTGCATGTATGTATGATAAAAGTGTACACTGATAGATATAGTTGACAGGTTACCTAAAATATATATAAAGACCTTAGAGATAGTAGAGGTATTTTTGAGCTTAAATTGATTGTTTAGTCATTATTATGAATTTATTTTCCTGGGGGCAGCATCGTGTATTTACACGCTTTATATCCATATATAGGTGTGAGAGTGTATTACAAATCATTTAATTTTAAGCCTATTTATGTATATATAAGAAATGTTAGAAATACGCTTATTTTAATTGTGCTGACAGACACCAATTAAGTCTAGAGTCTAAGGTACGTGCACAACGTCGTAGGGTATAAATATCCCGTGCAGACATTATAATAACATATTGTAAAAAACCACACCATGGCAGTTTAGAATAAATCTCCAGATCACATTTATATCGTTCACAAATGGCTTTAATACGTCGATCATCAGGATCGGCGAGAATCTCTTCAATATTAGCACTTTCAGGGATAAAAAATTTACGACGAATTAATTTTATACGTGATGATGGTATTGGTGTTGGCGGTGTTAAAGCCTGTGAAGGATTATTAATTGATGTGAAAGGCGACAGATTGGCGGCTATTGGTTCTCTTGAGGCAGTTAAAGGTCTTGATATCGGCTTTTGTAACGGTGCAGAAGATATACTTTCATTTGATAATCTTCTGTGTAGAACAGGTAGATTAGTTGGTGGTGAAGACATGGTAGACCGATTACTCTGGTTAATGAGTTGTACTTTTAAATCATTCGATGTATCTGAATAATTTATCGTAGATATTGAATTTACCTGCAGTAGTAATTCTGGGGGTTTTAAATCACTGTAGTCAAAACCTGACTGTATCATTAGTGATTTAGTGTGTACATTCTGTGCAATAGGATTTTTATCCCATGCTTGTGATGTTGGAGGAGTTAAACTCTTAGTTGCAAGGAATTTTGACCTAGGACGACTATGAGCAGTCCGAGTGCGATTCTTAAAGTTACCGTTATCGTCATCATCATCATCATTATTATTACTGTTTGACTTATAATAAGTTCCACGAAAATATCTAGGTTGTAGGGAATAAGACTGACGCTTACGTCTTATTCTAGAGTGATGTGATTTTGTTGACTGTATGGTGGAGTTATCTCTTGGGTAGATTACTTTTTCAAGTGATCTACTCTGCCTTTTTTGTAAACTACTTTTGACATTTTCTGGTTTTTCATTGTCATCTATCTTTATAGTATTCGCTTCAACTGAATTATCCATATTAGAATTAGTTTGACTAGATGAGTTAACCTCCGCAAGATGTGGATCTGTTTTGATGTCAAAGGGTAAAGTCTCAGCGGCATCGTAGTTCCTTTGTAGTATTCCTGATTGATCCATAGTATCAGCTCGTAGATCTGTAGTTTTAATTGACTGATTTGCCTTTAATTGATGAGTATTGAGTTCAATTTTTTGAATAGATGGCGGTCGATATATTGGTGAAGGCAGAATAGTCTTCGGGATTGGTATCCTAGATTCTTTCAGTGGCCGGCTACTTGGTACAAAAATCTGTGTGTTCTTTGTATCGGGTGATGATTTCGAATCTTTCGGTTTATTCGAAATATCATTAGACTGATGAGTTGTAGAATTAACATAAGTTGAATTTAATAATGTGTTTTTAAAGCTATTTGGTAGATTACTTTTTGGAGTATACTGTTTTCCCACGTGTTCATGAACATTTGATTTCAAGTTTACAGGTTTTTCACAAATTTTAGGAGTAATTTTATTAGTAGACGATCCATTGCTCGTCTTCTGAGAATTTAAGCCTGGTGTCAGAGATTTATCGAACTCTTCATGTTTTGGCTGATTTAAAGAACCTTCTTCGCTTTTTTCGGCATTTAAATGAGGTTGTTCTTTAGGTAAAGAATCTATGCTAACTTGATTAGTATTCAAACCTTGTTGGATATGACTAGGTGTTGTTGTTGGACAATTTTGTAAAGTAGATTTTATAATTTCATGTTCATTATTTAAATTAATTTGTTCTAATGAACTGACAGATGAAGCATTTGTAAAAGAACCACCAGATAAATCAATATGTGAACTAATCTCCACCTGTGGTCCTGGTATGTAATAACTTTCTGATGGATGACACTGATGTTTACTGTTGTGAATGTGATGGTTCGGCTTTTGTGAGCCTGTGGAAATTAAACATTTTTGATTTTGCTTTATCGTAGATGATGTGAGTGGATGTAGAGAGTCACCAAAAGCTGAAACATCTGTCAATGGAACATAATAATTGGGGCAAGGAATTCTGTTTTTATTTTCTTGTCTTTGTTCTCCAGACTGCCTCAAATCACCAGTGGAGGATTTTGAACGTTTGCACTGGCCATTATCTTTAGTGTAACTACTATTACTACCACTACTATTATTATGATTATAATAATTGGAATTGTCGAATACACTCGACTGACATTTCATTTTATCCTCACATTCTCCTTCATAAGTAAGCGGATTTATAGATTTCGATGGGAATGTCGCCGAAAGACTACCAGTATCACAATTATCATTACAATCTGTAGAATCCTTTACCATTTCATGATTCTCATCTTTCGATGTGTATTCAGCCTTTCTGTAACAATCACCATGTGGTATCCCTTCAAATTTACTATTTGATTCAATCATTCTTATAGGCGGTGTAACACTGGAACACCGTTGTCCAGACAATGAACTAACATCAACAGACCATTCTGATACTGAATTTAACAAGTTATTCGAATGATTTGTTAAAATATCTACACAGGGTAAAAATGCCTCATCGTCATGTATTCCAGTTTTAGACAAATAATGACTTGTGGAAATTTTGGTTTGCTTTCTATCCCATTGACATTGTGATGCCTTGTCAGCTATTTTAACGGGTATATCTGATTTCAAATTCTTATTGGGATCATACTTTTCATGAATACTACTCCCATTGTACTGATAATGATGTTGGTGTTGGTGATTACATAATATCTCTTGATAACTATGATTATTTGACATTGTCATTTCTTTTCTAGTCTGTAGCTTTTCTGATTGTTCTTCATACTGTACAGCACGTGAAATAACAAATTTTCGACAATTTGAAGCATAATTTTGACTTCTTGTCAGGTGTCTATCAAAGTTTGGTTTTTGACAGTGATATTCACATGTAGACTTTAAATTATCCGGCATACAACAAACTGTATTTCCCATGGATAATTCATGTGAATTTGTATTGCATTTACTATTTGATATTTTAACTTTTGTAGCACCGGGTGTTATATTATCCTCTTCACTGTATAATTTGTTTAAGTCCTTTGTCAAATATTCAAGATTAGAACTGTTTGACTTTTGTTTTGGGATATTTGAACCTGTTGATATATGATAGGTTAAAATAGAATCAGATTTAATAGGTAGTGTATAGCTGTTATTCTCTAAACTGATATGTTCAGTTTTACAATCTGAACAGTCAGAAGTATCACGAGATGGTACAGTGCATACATCAGCTACAAATTCAACACAATATTTCGGCATAATTTCCTATTCATGTTTTTTTAGATACACACCCTTATGGCGTTTAAATGAATGTCGTTATTATTATTATTAGTAGTATTATTATATTTATCATCAACCTGTAATTGCCGATCGATACAATTCGATCAATAAGCTTACTGACATTTAAAACACAATGGGTTGATAAAATGTAAATTGTTAGTTCATATTATTATTATTATAACTGAGACTTTCCTTCCTTTGGAATTGAATCTGGCGGTCATTATCCTTGGCGAGATTGCCTCCCATTGCATCAGGGCCTTCGTTACCGTTGGTGACATCATGATAGCCACACCCTCAGTGTGCATGTGGTTGTCTTCTGGGTGACCGGAGTAGATCACTGACTCACGCATTGACAATTTGATGAGTCCATTCCGTTCCATCTGCTTTCACATATTCCCAGTACTTGAATTCCGCATCTTTTCATCTCGTTTGCAACCTGGGAAGCTTTGCCAATCTCGTACATAGTGCGGATGTTCCATCTCCCCACACGGACTTTTTCTTTTGGCGCAAGAAGACTCATCGTGCTGAGGTTTCTGTAGCAACTTCTTTTATAGGGTGGGGTTGCTAGCCTCATGTCTCAGAAGGGGGGTTGTTACATTAAAATATAGTTTACAGAGAAGCGACCTTGTGGATTGCTTCCCTTAAAACCAGGAAAACAAGGAATAAAACAATCAGAACAACACCAGCAAAAGGAAAATAATTCACAGCAAGGAGGGCAACAAGCGACAACAACAATAATAATATCACAGGCACAGTTAACCAAAATGATACCAAAGTCATAGACTCACTGACTTGAGCCAACTTGGACATGTAAATCCCTCAACATATACAATTATAGATAATAGTTGGTGTTAGACAGTCACAAAATGGTAAGCAGATAGTTATAGGTATTATCGGTCAACAAGATTATATCCACAGATTCAGTTTTTGGAAGGCAAATAATTACACTAATTTCTGAAACTTTTTGGCAAGAAATTCCACAGAAACCAGAGTTTTATGTAACTAAGTAACCGTAACGTAGTAATCGAAAAGCGCGTCAAGGTCGTATTATTAATTCACATATTATTATATTTTTATCATTATCTTTTGGTTCCCAGTGGGGTTTTGCGGCTTCAGCAACACATCTCAACTCTGTTCTATTCTCTCCTGTCCTCTTCTTCAGCTGGCTAGCTCCACGATTGCCCATAATTTCTCATCTCCTCACCACCACACAATCTCCTCCATGTCATCCTCGCGCCGATGACCCACTCGTCGCTGCTTCCCATCTGGATTCCACTCAAGTGATGGCCTGCATTGTGAGCGATGTCGTTCGACAACCTCCTCAACGCACACCCGGTCTATCTCCATCGGGATAGAAATATGAGGAAATTTTCAATAAACCATAAAAAAACTGAGTAATTCTGAAAAAAATCTCAGTGGTGATAAGATAGATAATGACACATGACGTTGAAAATCATTGTCTCCGAAGGAACATGAGTTCCTTCAAGGTTGTAGATAAGCGTCACCCAACTGGTGAGTGCCAATTAGCAAGAAATCCAGGTCAAGTAAGCCTTCCTGCCATTTGCCTCCAAACATTTAATATCAAAATTGGCGATATGTCTCAAAACATCAAAAATACACTAAAATTGATTAATTTTCGCGTTTTATTGTCCCTCCTACATTTGTCTAACTAATTTCATTTTTAAAATAGTTTAAGTTTTTATTTATTTGGGTGTTTTTAGAAAGTTCCAGTGCAAGGGGAACTGTGTAAAAGAACTTTTACTGCTTCAGAACTGCACCACAGTTAGATATTCAACCAGACCGATGTTGACACATAGTGCACTAGAGATCAATTTCCAACTATGGAAACACCAGTTTGCATACAAAATTTAACAACTCCTTTGAAGCTAGTAATTTAACATAACATAACAATTTCGCTTTATTCCAGAAACAGTACTTGTGGTACAGTGTGGAATTTTCAGCACATATCTACAATATTGCATCTAATTTCATCGTACATTTAAAAGGAGTATTACAAAAAAATAAAATATATAAAAAAACACAACAAAAAAACCAAAAACAGAAACACAAAAATAAAAAAACAAAAGAAAAAAAATGCAAATAAAAATACCAAGTAGAAAGGAAGATAAACACCAATAATGAAAAAAATATTTCAGTACTGGGTAGTGGAAGCTATGATATGTGTATGGGTGGTGAACAGTAACAGCTATAATCATACAAGAAGTTATGAAATGTTCTTAAGAATGTTTATAGCCAAGATGATCAGTTAATTTGATTGAACAACACTGAACAATCATAAAATAAACATTTCAGCTTGTGTTTTTTTTATTGTCAGCACTAATGCGGTGTTTGTAGTGGTAGTGTGAGTAATCATGCATAATACAAAATATTTTAGGATGGTGATAACGGCGTTCACAAACAAGATTGTCAGTTAAATAGTGCCGAACAAAGAACAACCACAAAACTAATATTACATGATGGTTAGTGACAGGACAATTTTGTAATACTCATAGTGATAATATAGTCGGACCCAGTAGATATACAAAAGAAGGAATACAGTAAAGTACAAAAAAGTAAGCCAATGATAATAATATTAAGTAGATAAGTATGTATAAGAAGGTTGTTCACTATAGAGTACAAATAAGAGAGTATAAGGGGGAAATAACAAGGGCCAAAATTATTTTATTAACAACAAAGCAAGTCATAAGTTTCACGCTTAACATTGTCTCTGTCACTTAGAACACGGGCCAAATATGGTATCGTTGAGTTCCTATACTTGGTTGTACGAGCATATATTATTTTGTACTGATTTCTGGTTCTACCTGATGAGATGCAGGGAGAGAGTTGGGAATAGAGGGGGTGTTGGGGGTCGGAGAGTATGGTTTTAGACCATTTCTCGCATGTATTCAGATGCTTATCCACTAATGTAATGACGAGCTGACTGAGTTTTACACCGCTAGTCCTACTAACTACCTTCAACATCCTTCTCAGGATGGTATTGTCCTTTTTCAGTAACCCAGGAAAGACTAACGGGGAGCAGTAAAGTAGAATAGGTAGGATACGAGAGTTGACAAATTGTGAAAGCAGAGGTTGAGGGACTCCAGTTAGTCTGAGTTTCTTAATGTAGTAGGTTAGACGAAACACTTTCTTGGAAATCATTTGGATATGAGATGACCAAGTAAGGTCGGAAGATAGAACTAATCCGAGGTATTTTTCATTAGACTTTGTTTCAATTATAGTCCCGTCAATGCTACAGGCTTCATGAGTGCTTACTAGTGTTTGTAGATCTCGTTTATGCCTAAAGGAGAAGTCGATAGTCTGGCATTTTGAGGCATGAGGCCATTTAGTTTAGACCACTGACTGATGTCAGACTGGAAGCTATTTAATTTGAAGCAGTCTGACTGAGACTTAACGTGAAGCGAAACAGTCAGATCATCTGCATATTTGACGAAGTTGATTTCGTCTGAGAGAGGTAAGTCATGTAGGAAGAAGGAAAAGGGAAACAGCGAGAGAACAACACCCTGAGAAACTCCAGCTTCAGTAAGCAAAGGAGAGGAAGCCACACCATTATATACCGTGTACTGTATCCTATTGGAGAAGTAAAAGTGCAGCCAGTTGATAGCCCAGGACTCAGTTTGTGTAAGGCTAAGCTTGTTTAACAAAAGGCCTCTAGGTACAGAGTCAAAAGTAGATGTGTAATCAAGGAAAGTACAACGGACATACTTGGCCCCTTTGTCTAAGGAGGATACAATGTTATGATGAAACACAGCAGCAATGTCCAAAGTACTTCTACCCTGTTTGCTCCATTAGCTTCAAAAAAGGAGAGGTAATGGCAATTGGTCTAAACTTAATGCTATTTCCCGAACCAGACTTGGGTACAGGGATGATTTTAATATCTTTCCACAGAGAAGGTACAACATTATTAAAAAAAGAAGTATTGAAAATGCTAGTAAGTGGGTTACTTAAAATATCAGCACATTTCTTTAGAACAACGGCAGGTATACCATCAGGGCCTAGACTCTGGGGAGGTTTAAGAGATTTCAAACATTTAAGAACATCAGCAGAATTGAAACGATGAAAGTCACTGGTCGTGTTATTAGTTAAATTGAAGGCAGAAGGGACATTTGGAGGGCGGATAAAAGATCTATTGAGAGCATTAACATCAATAGAAGAAGCAAAATTATTATGCTTACCACAACCTGTAATTTCTCTGTAAAGCTTCCATATGTTTTCTGAGGTTTTACAAGACAGTATTGTTTGATTATAAATGTTGTTTAGTCTCTACATTTCAGATTTAATTTGGATGTTTATCTTCTTAAGACCAGATTTATTCTTTGTCTTGTACAGCTTCTCTTTTTCTCTACGAAGTTATTTGAGATGAGGGGAAGAAAAACGATCCATTCTTTTGAAAATTATCTGTTTTGGACAGCATATATCAAGACAGAATTTAAGATAGTCAGTCAAATTGGAAATAGTATCATCCAGTTTGTGTTCGTTGAAAAGTTCCCAGTTAGTGTCATTTAGCATACATCTTAGTTTGAGCATATTTTCTTGTGAGTAACACCTTTGCTGTGTTTTCTTCGACAGATTTGAGAAGATATTAAAGTGAGATCTGCTGTATATCTTAGGTAATATCCGAATAATACAATGATCTGAGTTCATGATAGGAGCACGTCTGCGTACTTCATATATTTCCTCATCATTAAGAAACACTAGATCCAGAGTTTTATCAAGTCGAGTAGGGAATTTAACAATATTGGCATGACCTAATGATACGAGGAAAGAACAATCACAGCAGTTAAAATCTCCTGCGACAACTGATAAAGAGTTTTCAAGATGTGTAACGGCGAATTCAGTGAATTCATCAGCAAAATCAGATAGATCCGAGGCAGAACAGCCAGGAGTAACATAAATGTTAGAGATGAAGACGTATTTAAACTTGGATAAGTGTTTCGGGCGGCATTTGACCGTTATACAAT